AAAAAAAAAATTATAGCTAGGTCAGCTGAAGGCCCAGGGAGATTATGTGACTTAACCGAGGTCACCCAGTGAGAGCTGGGGTTGAAACGCTGATCATTTGACCCCCAAGGCCAGCGTTATTCTTTCTGCTTTCTGGAAAGGTGACCCTGGCCTCCCGTCGAGAGGAGTTAGGCTGGAAAGCAGCCAGTGGAGGCAGGGGGCTGGGTGTGAGGACACTGGGGCCTTGGGACACTCAGAACCTTGCCCTTCCAGGCTCTTGACCTTTTCTGGATCTGGAGCCCCAGGCTCAGCCCACAGCCCTTTCCTCCTTCATCAGGCCCTGCTCTGCCATGTGTTCTGTCCTCTCTGCTGAGGGCCCTCCCCCAGCCTTGCGGTCTGGTGCTATTTTAGGAGCTGGCCGGTGCTCCCAGTGGCTCTGTCCAGGGCTCTGAGCTGGGAGGACCACAGAGGCCAGCAGTGACATCCCCCAGCCCAACCACACACAGATCTCCGGAGAAACTTCTCCGTCTCTCCATGGCAACAGACTCCTCCTGGGGCTCGGGTAGCAGCCCCGATAGTTCTCAGGTCACAGGCTCTGGCCGACCCCTTGGGGCTCAGAGCCTCTCTTCTTTGTCCACCATCATCCTGAGACCCATTCGAAGATGCTTTGGGAGGGTCTGTTCTTTATTATGACGCGTCACACATTTGACCCCCCCTAGTGGTCTGGACCACCACATTCAGGGCTCCTCCTTCACCATCTCCATCGCACTCCAGAAGAGGGTGCAGGGGAGAGGCTTGCTCAGCAGCAGCCACGCTGGTCCTCAGGGGTGCTAGTCAGGGAAGTCTCTACCCAGGACAGCCCCTCGGCCTCAAAGGAGCTGCCTTGCGGTGGACATCACCTCAGTCCACTAGGGCACTGACAGGCTGTCCACAGATGGGTGACTTGGGTTAGTCACAGCCCCTGTATTTGGACGTACAGGGGAGAAGGAGAGGGATTGTCCATGTGCTGCATCCTCACCCTGGCAGTGTGGGGCAGGAGGGAGGGGAGGGGCACGGGAGAAAGACCAGAGCGTGGTCTTCATCATTCTGATTTACTCCTGTCCCCTCAGGCTCCCTTGCAATCCGATTGCAAACAGCAGGGGGCGCTGTCATATCTCAGGGGCATCTGGTGTAATCATTATTAGTTGAGGACCTACGCCCGGGGCAGCTCTAGTTCATGTGTCTGCTCCAGGAGAGCAATTTCATAACACAGGGAACAGACGTGCGGGGAAGGGAAACCCTACAAAGGCACCCCGGACCAAGCATTCAAAGCCAGATCAGCTTCACACACAAGGCCTTGTGCCTGTAATCACACCCAACTGCCTGATGCCTCCTACTTCGCCGAGACAGATTTGATCCTTACAAAGACCTCTGTGAGCTGTGACGTGTACACTATCTCTGTATTAGAGAGACAATGAGTCCAGAGATGCTAAAAAGCTGGGCCCAAGCTCCCTCCGCAAAGGAACAGAAGAGGATTTGGATCCAGATTGCCTGCTCCCATCAGGCCAGAGGGGGCTGTCTCCAAACGAGTTCTTTCAGGTCTTTCCTTCTTCCACTGCTGGGGATTGAACCCCGGGCCTTTGCACTGAGCTACATCCTCAACACTTCTCGTTTATTTATGCAGCCAGGGTCTTACTACATTGCTAAGGTGCCTAGGCTGGGCTTGAATTTGCCTCAGTTTCCAGGTTTGTGCCACCACACCATGGCCAGCATCAAGGAGACTAATTTTAATTGGAAATTTTTATTGAGAGAGTATAGATGAAGAAGCAGGTATAAGAAATAATACAGAGAAGCTGGGCCTGCAGCAGGAGGATTGCTGTGAGTTTGAGGCCAACCAGTGCTATCTAGTGAGTTCAAGGCCAGCTTGAACTAATAGAAAAACCTTGCCTCAAAAAGCAAAATAAAACCTAACAAAAAAAGAAATACAGAAACATTTGCAAAGCTACGTTGGACAGCATCACAGCCCAGAGGCGGCCATTGCTCCAGTCAACCCTCCATTGCACTCAGATTTTCCTGGCTTGACTTGTGGCTCTCTCTCCATATGTGTCAAAGCCGACACCATGTTAGCCTCTCTAGGCCCATGCGCATGATCCCCAGGGCCCAGATGCCCAACTTCACAGAGGCACAAGGATTCCTCCTCCATTCCAGCCTTCACACAACTCCTGACAATTACAAGCCATGTCCATGTCTGGAATCTTGCCATTCAAAGACTGTTAGGGACACACACACACACACACACACACACATGGCCTTCAGAATTAGCCTTCTCCAACTGGCAGAATACCCTGGAGATACATCCAAGTTGCTTGGGATACCAGCATATCAAGGATGCATACCTTTTTCATTACTCAGTAGTATTCCACATGACCCACACTTGATGTGACCACTCTTTCAGAGGCACTTGTGCAGGGACAAGCCCATCAATGAAGACACGGGTGGGGCTTGTCAGTGAATTACTCCCTGAATGCTTTTGGGGATAGGAAAGGTTGAAAAACTGCCAACATTGCTTAGAGAATTACAAAGAGGAACCTGGATGTTCTGGACACCATGTCTGCTTGGGGGTGGGGAAATGGAACAGGTATTAGCTGGCCACCCTGCTGTCACCTGGCGCTGTGGTGTCCTCTTTGCACAGCAGGAAACAGGTCACCCAGGTCATATACAGGAAGGGATGGGGTGAGATTCACCCTGGGGGATGGAAGTCCTCTGAGGAAGGTGGGCTTCCCTTTCCTCCCGTGCTGACTTTCTTCTCTTTCTGGAGGGAGAGCAGAGACCATGTCTGACACTGAGGAGGTGGTGGAGGAGTATGAGGAGTGAGTATCTGGGGTGTATCTGGGAGTGTCCCTTCTCGATTGCTGCCCCTTCCACATCCCCACAGCCACCCTGGGAGCCCCCAAGCTGCCCCAGGCACCCAGCAGAAGTGGCTGGCTCTGTTTCCAGGACCCCAGGAAAGACTTACCCCATCCCAAGCCCTGCACTGCTGGACATGGGGCAGCAGGTGCTGGGCTGACCTCAGGCCGAGGGGCTGTGGGGACACGGGCCCGGCTCCAGAGTGGTCCTGCCCCGCTAGAAGTCTGGGCCCTAGCAGAGGAGCCGAGAAGCAGAGATCCTGGACCCGACCACAAGGGTCCAGTGACTCCACAGCGAGAGCCCATGGTACCCAGCATGCCCGCCACAGGGCCCAGTGTCCTCACTGCCCTGGGGCCCAGTGTACCCTGACTGCTGCCCCCTGGCCCTGTCCTGGGGAAGCCAAGGGTGGGACACAGGCACCCAGCAATGGCTCGGGTAGCAGTGTCACAGGAGGACACAGAGCCCCAGGTGCCGCTCTGTGGTGCAGGTGCAAGGGTTTCTGGCGAGGCTGTGTGGGGACACAGGGACAAACTGGGGAGGGGAAAGGCTTTCTAGAAAGGGGAGCAGCCGGTGGGGAGCTCAGAGTGACGGGAGGAGGCCAAGCGGGCTGACGGAGTTCGGAGTTCGCTGGGGACCGTGGCAGGGGGAGGGTTGAGAGAGAAGGGTGAGCCGGGCCAGGCAGAGTGCGGACTCCGCCAAGCAAGGGAAGAAACGCGAGGCGGGGCTCTCGTGTGTGCTGACGCTGACCGTCTCTTCTCACACGCAGGGGCCAGGAAGGTAAGCACACGGGGTGCTCCCTGGATCAGGACAGCATGGCTAGAAACTGACCTACTCTTCTCTCTCCTCTTGCTGCCCACTTCTCTTCTGAGCAGAAGCTGGGGAAGGTATGTACCTGGGCAGGTGGAGCCCTAGAGAGGAAGGGTCTGGAGACCCCAGGAAGATGGCTGTGTGTCCTGCCTCCCACTCTGAGCTCAGCCAAGCTCCTGCCACAGCTGCCCTCCTCCCTCCGTGGGAGTCCCTCCTACCTCTATTGCTCAGATCTTGGGACAAACAGTTTAATTAAATCTGTCTCCTCTCGGCCATTTCTTCCCCACTTTTTCAAGTTTATTATCATTATTATTGTTGTTATTTTGGTACTGGGGATCAAACTTGGAACCTTGCGCTTGTGAGACAGGCAGTGGAGCCGCTGAGCTAAATCCCCAGCCCCTCAAGTTAATTATTTTTGACCCCCCCTGCTTCTTTTTGGCAGTACTGGGGATTAATCTCAGGGCCTTTGCACTGAGCTATACCCCCAGCTCATTTTTTATTGTTTATTCTTTATTTTTGTTTTGTTTTTTTAGTACCGGGGATCAAACTCAGGTCTTTGTGCTTGCAAGGCAGGCGGCAGAACCACTGAGCTAAATCCTCGGCCCTTATTTTTTATTCTGGGGCAGGGTCTCACTAAGTTGCTCAGGCTGGGCTTGAACTTGTGATCTTTCTGCCTCAGCCTCCCTCAGAGTGCTGGGATTACAGGCTTACTTTGCTTGTTTGTTTTTTAATCTGGAAAATTTGAAATAAATATAAAGATAGCAAAGAAGAAACCCTGGGTTTGGGACCAATCTGCCTTCTACACACAGTAGGACCTGGCTGTGAGTCAATGAAATAACTGCACAGTGAGCGTGGGCTTGGCCCCTGCAGCACCTGCCTTGCTTGCTGGGAATGGCTGACAGCACCCTCCCGCACCCCAGCTCAGGACCTGGCCATCAAAGGCAGAGAGCTCAAAGGTCCAGAAGAACAGCCACGAGGCCCTCGGGATGATCCTCAGGGCTGTGCCTGCCTCAGACGGGACCCTTTCCTTCCCAGATACCTCGTGCCCAACAGGGCTTCCTGAGCACGACAAGGCAGGCAGGAAGCTACCAGTCAGTGCCTACCGAATGCTTTGCTGGTGCCTAGCACTGCGGGCACCCTAGGCATGCTGGGCCGTTCCATCCCCGCACTGGCGGGAAGTGGGCTTCCGTGTTGCTCGTGGTTCCCAATGCTCAGAAGTGTTACTGAGACCTGAGGAGTCCATGTTGATGAAGGCAGTGGCCCTGGAATTGGGGCCCAGTTCCAACCCCAGCCTCCCCTGCAAAGTTCTGTGCTGGCCGGTGCCCTGCCTGGGCTTACGCTCCTGCTAACCTGTCTGCTTCTCCCCTCTGCCGCTGCTGCTCCCTGACCCAGAAGAGGAAGACTGGAGAGAGGATGAAGATGGTACTACAGCTTTTCCTGTCCTGCTTCTCAGTCCCCGTGGTCCGCCAGCCGCCTGCTTGTCCTCGGGCTGGGGGGTTAAGTGGGTTGGTCATCGCCTCCTAAGCCTCCAGGGCCTTTGTCATGTCTGTCCTTTAGGGCCACTGGCTCTTTCTCCCGGTGCCTGCTCTTTCCTGCCTGGCTTGTCTTCCCACCTTCTCCAGTGTGGACGGCTTTTGGGGGAATGAGTGGCCCGCATGCCTACTTGCACATGGCAGTTTGGGGTGCTGGGCTCCTCCCAGTGAACTGACCAGCCCCAGGCAATGTGGCCCCGGGGACAAAGTCATCCGAAAAGCAGCTGGGGCTTGGAAATAGCTGGAGCAGAGAGGACATGATGTGCCCTGTGGAGTGTAGGATGGCGCTGGACCTGTTCTGGGTGCCCACAAAGAGCACCAGGGCAAGGGAGGCAGATGGGGGTTTAATTTTAGAAATGGACTTTCCCACAGTGAAGCTGCAAGACACAGTGGGTGGCCTGGGGAGGCTGTGAGCCCCCTCCTGGGGCCAGCTATGTGACCACAGATGAGGGTTGTTGGGCCCAGAGAAAGGAAACATTGGTGGCTTAGGAGAGCTGCTCACATGGTGGCCCAGAGGTGGACCCCACAACTGGCCCTGTCTTTCCCGGCCAGTCTTTTTTTCTTACACCTTCTGGAAGGGTCATTTTGAGGGAAGTGTCTTTCAGAGGTCAAGGAAGAGGCACCTCTAGCCTCAGAGAAGACTCAGACATAGAAAACAGTGAGGAGGAGGCAGAGGGAACAGAGGCTACCCTTCCTCCCTTGATACCTCTCCCTTCTGTCCTGAGGTATTTTCTTCTTCCTCTGCCAAGACCCATTACTTGTCAGCTTCTCAGTAGACAAGTGTTACCACGCACCTCAGGCGCTATCCTGTCTGCTAATCTGTCTATCTCCAAGCGCCGGAAGGGGCAGGTCCACCTCCTGCCAAGCAGGACGAAAATAGAAAAATCCTGACAACCTTCCGGACAGGACACATATTGACTATCAGGCACCTCACCCACTTACACGGTCTTGCCATCTGGTTTCTTTGGGATATAGAGACAGGGTCTCTAGACTTGGCCAGTCACTGGGTCCAGGACCCCCACCCCCAGGCAGCAAGGTGCTGGGTGGGACGTCTGGGGTAGGAGGTTGGAGAATGGAGTGGAGTTGGAACCAGGGTGATCCTCGGGATGGAAGATCTAAGTCGGGCAGAAGGAGCCTCAGACAGAACCCCTGCCTCTCCAGGCTTGCTGGGCTCACAGCTTCTCAGGTGCTGCCCACAGCACCCATCATCCCCTGACATGTCCCCATCCCGATTTCAGGCCTTCCTAGTGTTTTCCACACTGGGCAAGACACAGTTTTGATTCCAAAACTCCCAGAGAGGCACATTTGGGAAGAAAGGACTATTCACTAACCTAACCATGTCTCTCTGTTGTGTTTACCTGGGGGTGGCATTTTTTTCTGCAAAGGAACAGGGACTAAACACCTTGGGTTTTATGGGCCACATGGTCTCTGTTGCAACTACTCAGCTCTGCTGCCATAGCACAAGAGCAGCCATAGTGCACTGAGGAGTGGATATGGCTGTGTGCCAATAAAACTTTATTTGTAGAAATAGTCTGGGGGCTGGATATGGCTCTTGGGTCATTGTTTGCTGACTTCTGGTTGAAACCAAGAATCAAGCAGCCTTCTGTCATCCCTAAATTGGTATGGCCCTGGATGTCACTGGTTTCCACCCCACCCCTCTTTGTCTGTCTTCTGTCCTGGGTGCTTTCTGACAGTGAGCACAGGGGCTGAGCTTTTCACTGTGTTTGGTTCACTTCTCCAGAGCAGGACGAGGCAGCAGAAGAGGATGCTGACGGTGGGGCTGGGGCTGAGGATGAGACAGAGGAGGCTAAGGCAGAAGGTGCGACCCAGGGGTCAGGTGCGAGGGCCTGGGGTGGCAGTCAGAAGCCCCTTGCAGTGTGCTTCCTAACCCGTGCGCCTCCTCCTCCCGTCTGGGCCAGGAGACTGCTGCCCATTGCCTGATCAATGGACGTTGAGAAGCCATGAGTGGTTCTTTCACGTCACACAGTCTTGGGCCTAGGGACGTGTGTGTAAAAGACAGCTCCCTCACCCCATAAACTAGCAGGGTGCCCTTTGGCCAGGACCTGCCCATAGGGGTAATGTGAGTGTAGAATAAGGAAGTTATTAATTGCTTATGTGTTGTTTAGAGGATGGAGAAGAAGAGGAAGCTGAAGAGGCTGAAGGTAGGCCTGGGTGGCGAGCAGACCCCTCCCAGCAGCTCGGGGGCGATGGCCCGCACAGCTCCTTCCAGGAAGGTGGGCAGGAGGGACAGAACCTGGTGGCGCTAGCAAGGTTTCAGGTGCTGCGTTTGAAACCTGTACACCTGTGATGCAGGAGTAGGGAGGGCCAGTGAGTGCGTGTGCTTGCTGAGTGGCCAGTGGGGCCCAGCAGCACAGGCCCTCCCGAGGCGTCAGCGGTCCATGTGGCAGCTCATCGCTCTGGTCGCTGTCACACTGCAGCCCTTACCAGCATGCCCGGTGGTCAGGGGAGTGTGTGGGCCACTGTGGTGTCCATCAGGGTGGACCCAGGGACCACCAGGAAGTCCAGAGCACACTGAGAAGGCAGCTCAGGGGGGATTCTAGGCTCAGAACCCTGAGGACCTGGGGATCTTTCCATAGGAGACTTCGTTGAAAAGCAAATTTGTGTTGTCCAGAACTGGGGACCGAGAGGGGGCTTTGCAGGCCCAGTGGAGTGTGTGCCCCCCAGAATGCCCCAGGGGCTGGCTTAATGCTCTAGGATCTCCAGGGCCAAAAGAAATTCCCTGGGTAACTGGGGAAACTCATTGAGCCCCACATATCCAACTCAGTGGTGGGGCTGTGACCAGGTATGGGCCTCCTAACCCTATGGCTGTGTACTTCTCTGTCTTCCAGATGGCCCAGTAGAAGAGTCCAAACCCAAGCCCCGGTGAGTGGCATTCACCTGTGTTGGAGCCCTGGGAGCAGAGGGCCAGTGAGGGAGGATGATGGGATGGGACAGGAATTCAGTGGGCATAAACTGGGGTTGTAGCGATACAGACTATCACATACAGTTGTACAGGTTGCATACTGCACAAAGATCTCGGGGGTGTGTGTGAATGAAAGCTGAATTCTATCCTATACTCCACTATCAGTCATGCACCCTGGCAGGGATGGGGCTATGTTCATCTAAAGAAGGGTTAGGGTTAGCGAGAACACCATCCTTCGTGAAGGAGGGACCTGGGGGAAAGGGAGACAATTTTAGGGAGCCAAGCAATAAAACCACGCCAGCAGAGAGCTGCAAAGGAGCCGAGCAATGCAGCTTGGCCCAGGTACTGAGGCAATGGGAGTCAGTAGAGTTGGGCAGGTTGGCGAACAGGAGCATTTCCCCCTCGGCAATACTCATCCTGCCAGCAGAGGGCGCTCAGAGCTTTCTTCCTGCATCATCTGGAGTCTCTGACCCCAGCCTGCCCCCGCCAGTCCCAGTTCATCTAAATGTCCAGTTCCTTCCCCTCCTCTCACCACTGACGGACTCTGCAGTATCTCACTGTAGCCCCACTCAGACCTGAGGGCAGATGGGGAAACCGGGGACCAGGGACCCAGCTGCCTCACACACTCAGTACGCGCTGGGCCGGCGCAGAAGGGCAGGACTTCCGGGTCCACAGGCTCCGCAGGTCCTCCGCAGCCGTGCGCAGAAGGACAGTTCTGCCGCTTGTCCCAGCTTCTCTGCCTCCCAGCTGTGCGGTTGTGAGCAAGTCACTCTCTGAGCCTCAGTTCCCTTACATGAGACGATGCGGCCTCCTTCGTGGGTGTGCTGTGAGGGTAAAGTGAACGGGAGCGTGAAAGAGCTCCATGTCACCCTGGTGCTGAGCAGGAGGACTTCTGGGGTGGACACAGGCGGTGATGTCGCTGTGTGGGTGGCCAGGCAGCCCCATGCAGGAAGGAGGATGCCGGGGTCACAAGCAGGGTCGGGGCCCCATGGCTCCTTATTGCTCTGTCCCACAGGCTGTTCATGCCCAACCTGGTGCCCCCCAAGATCCCGGATGGAGAAAGAGTGGACTTTGATGTGAGCAGTGGTGGTGGATGTTCCAGGCTGTGGCGGGGTGGCCACCGGGGTCAGAAGAGGTCTTGGGTGGTGCTCAGCACAGGCCCTGGGCATGGTCCCCTCTGCATGGAGCAGGGGGTGCAGCCTCTCAGCCCCCCGGGACCCCCGCAGGACATCCATCGGAAGCGCATGGAGAAGGACCTGAACGAGCTGCAGACACTGATCGAGGCCCACTTTGAGAACCGGAAGAAGGAGGAGGAAGAGCTCATCTCTCTCAAAGACAGGATCGTAGGTGTCCAGCTCCCCCCCCCGTCTCTGAGCTGCTGCTGACCCTGGTGGGGGCGAGCTGTCCTTCAGCACCCACAGTGGTCCTGCATGTGGCTCCTTGTGTCCCCACCTCTTCTCTCTGCCTTTATGGCAGGAGCTGGCTCCGATGGCTTCTGGGTGACGGAAGGGCCTCACCCAAGTTCTGGCTGTGGTCCTGTCCCTGGCTCCTTTCCACTAATGCAGGGAGCACAGCAGTGGCTTGCAGAGTCCCTGGTCACTGCGCTGGGGAGCAGGAGGCTACTTGATTCCTTGCCATCTCTCTGCCTCACCTGACTACCCACAGATGTGTGTTCTGGCTGGCAGCCGATGACTTTGTGTCCATCTTGGCACTGCCAGCAGCTGCCAGGGCCAGGGCGTCACCCTCATGGGAGACAGAGAAGCTGCCTGGCATTTTCCACGTGGTTGAGGCAGTCTCCCCTGAGCAATGTTCCACGTGGGCCACCTGCCCGTGCGCTCACGTGGCTGTCCTTATATCTACCTGGCGAGGGCCACTTCTGCCTGCATTTGTGGAGCTGGCTAAGAGCAGAAGCACTTGAAGGAAGGGCACCCTGGGGGTCCCTGCACCTCAGCTGTGGGTGCCACCTTCTCTCAGGCCCACTCAGGGGCCTCTGCCTCTCCCTGCAGGAGAAGAGACGGGCGGAGCGGGCGGAACAGCAGCGCATCCGAAATGAGCGGGAGAAGGAGCGGCAGAACCGCCTGGCTGTGAGTAACCTGGCCCAGCCGGAGCCCCCAGCACGTTCCCAGCTCCCGCCGACCCCAGCCCCTCTCTGTTCATAGAAAAATGCAGTCTACAGACTGCCTGCACCAGGCCAGCTCTGCTGTTGTCTTGGCTGTGGTAACACAACAGGGAATACGATGCCATGCTGGGCCTTGTCATGACATTGGAGACTCTCCAACCCTCCTCCCCTCCCCAGTGCAGGCTGCCTGGGGACCGAGGGTGCTCACCTTCCTGTAGGGAGCTCCCAGGCTGGGGAGAAGATGGCACCTGGCAGTTGGGAAGGAGGACCTTGCGCCCTTGCGCATGCGTTGCTCATTCAGTCCTTAAACTGCCGCGGGCCTGCTCTGCACCTGCTGAAAGCCCCTTGCCCGGCAGGGGGAAGCTGGCTGTGCCCGGAATCACCAGCAGCTTCAGTCCAGAGTCAGGGCCTCCCACCCTTGTCCACCATGTGTCCCTTTCTTCTCCCTGAAAATCAGGAAGAGCGGGCCCGGCGGGAGGAGGAGGAGAACAGGAGGAAGGCTGAGGACGAGGCCCGGAAGAAGAAGGCTTTGTCGAACATGATGCATTTTGGAGGATACATCCAGAAGGTGGGTTGTGGTGGGCGAGCAGGGATCACCAGGGTCCCTGGTGTGTCTGTGAGGAATGAGCAGTCTGACATGGTGGGTACTTCAGGGAGGATCCCAGGAAGAAATTCCCAAGGCGGAGAGGGGGAGTCTGCCCCACCGCACAGAGCACAGTGCTCTCCACCCTGCTGCTGGGTCCAGTGGAGCCCAGGAGCCCCCATGGTGGCTGGGTGCGGCCGGAAGTGCCTGTGCCTGGAGCCAGACCTCCGGTTGGAGACCCAGCTCTGCCCTGGTGCCACCTCTGAGCCTCAGTTTCCTCACGTGGACCCAGAGTTGCCTGCACTGCTGCTTTGAGGTCAAATGCACTAACTTGGGGAGTGGCTGTGCCCTACACAGATGTGAGGGGGTTTGCTCCTGGGACCCCTCTCAGTTCTTCATGCTACTAGATGTGAAACTGATCTCCTTCATGCAGTGCCGGGGAGCAGAGCATTATCTCACATTTCCAAAGTCCCCAGCTCTGCCACTGTGCCCACCCCCATACCAGCCCTGAGCCCCAGACCCATGCCCTAGCACACCAGGCTGCCTACGTGACGTCTGAATCACCTTCTTCTCCTGTCTCTCTGCCTTTGTCTCCCGCTCATGTTCTGCCTTCTCTCTGGGTCTCTGTCATGGTCTCGATCTTTCTCTCTGGGTCTTTCTCTCATGGTTTCCTGGCTTAGCAAGCCCAGGTGGGTACTGAAATCTCAAAAACCCTCTTTCTTTCCTTGCTTTTGGGGAGCTCCCTGGGAGGGACAGCACCTTTTTGTGCAGAAGAGAGCAGAAATTGGGCTGGCGGGAAGGAGAGAGTCTGGGGAGAGATGGGAGAGACTGGTCACCCACAGGGTGACTGATCCCAAGGAACCCCTTGGAGGAACTGAGGCAGATGGTGATGTGGGTGTTGCAGGATCCAGATGATGAGAACCTGGTCCTCTTCTGGCTTCTCCCCACTCCCTGGGGTGGGAGTGGAGTGGGTGGGGGTGTTAGGGAGAAGGAAGGGCAGTCTAGCCAAGCCAAGGGTCTCTGCCCGCCACCTCTTTCAGACAGAGCGGAAGAGTGGGAAGAGGCAGACAGAGAGGGAAAAGAAGAAGAAGATTCTGGCCGAGAGGAGGAAGGTGTTGGCCATCGACCACCTGAATGAAGACCAGCTGAGGTGAGCTGGGTGGGGTGGTCTTTTGGAGGCAGAGGCCTCTGCCCGGGACTTGGCAGGGCGCACTTCTCTCTGAGCACCACCAGAGGGTGCTACTTCCCCACACATTTCCCAAAGGCGGGTTGCTGGGGCTGGAGTCGAGAGCCCAGCAGGTCTCTGGTCCCTCATCTGTCAGCTTCCGCCTGCTCTCCTGCACTCAGGAGGTGCGAGGGGATTGAATGAGAGGCGCTCAGTGCCCATAAAGCTGCTCCCCCTTCCTCCTGGTCTTCAGAACACTGCCTGGGCAGCCCCTGGTCAGAATCAGACTGAAGGCAGGTGAAGGACCATCCTCACCCCGCCCCACCTCTTCTGCACAGGGAGAAGGCCAAGGAACTGTGGCAGAGCATCTATGACCTGGAGGCGGAGAAGTTTGACCTGCAGGAGAAATTCAAACAACAGAAATATGAAGTGAGCAGTGCAGGGCGCCCTCCCCAGGCTGTGCTCCTCCTGGTTTCGTGGGGTCCCTCAGGTCCCTTTCCGGGCACCCCGTCAATCCATTCAACTCACACACCTGCTACAGCGTCTCACCTCCAATGCTGTTCAGCTCCCCCATCCCTCGCCTCTGCTGTGCTGAGCCCCCAGCGCCCCCTGGAGGCCTCCCAGGTGCTGAGTTTATCGAGCCCTTGACTCGGTTTCCCCTTGTGTCTTCCAGATCAATGTTCTCCGGAACAGGATCAACGACAACCAGAAAGTGTAAGTGTCTCCCACTCCCGGCCCCTCAGTCCTAATCTTCTGGCCATGCCCTTCCCCTCTCCTCAGCTGCCGGTTCCTTCTCCGGCTCTCCTGGGCCTCTGCTCACCAGTAGGAGATGGGTGGATGCCGGCGAGTTCTCGCTCCCGCCCACGGCTGCTGCCCACCTCTGCCCCTGGAGGCAGCTCCAGCTGCTCCTCTGAACCCTTAGCATTCCTCATCCTGTCCTTCACTCCACGGGGCCCCGCTGCCCTGCTCTGTGTTCCTCACTGACTGCTTCTCACTTCCCCTGCAGCTCCAAGACCCGTGGGAAAGCCAAAGTCACTGGGCGCTGGAAATAAAGGCCTCTTGGAGGCTGAAACTCTTTGCCAAAAATCTGCTTCTTTCTTGTGCCCCTGCCCTGCTCAACCCCAGCTTCTGGGCCCTCCTGGGCACCCAGGACAGACTCCTGCCCGGAACCTGGGAACTGGCCCAGCTGGAAGCTAGCACTCCTGCATGCCCTGTGCCCATGCCATGCCAGGAATAAAAGCCATTGTGCACTGCACACACTGAATCTCTCTCACTTCCTCTGAGGCAAGACCGTGTCCTCCAGGGAGCAGGGCAGCTCTCAGAGGCTTGGGGACAAGGCCCTTGGCATCTCTGCTGGGCTCGGAGGAGCTTCTGCTAGACTGGCCCCTTCCACCTGCCTCCACCCAGGGAGAGGCTGATGGCCAGGGAATGCGCGTGCTTTCTCAGGGCCTGGGAGGGAGTGCAGTGGACAGGGCTTGTCAATTTAGCCCGTGTGAGTCACCATGGAGCTGTGCTCTGGGAAAAGCACTGTCGCGTGGGGAGGGTACGTTCCCGTGTGAGTCACCTCAGGAACAATGGAGACCTCTCTGGACGAGTCCTGTTTTCTTTTTCTTCCTGGCCTGGGCACTAAGGGCCAGGTGTCTGAGGGCCATAGGGCCCTCGAGGGAGGAAGGAGGCCTGGTTTCTTTGGACAGCCGCTTAGGTCAGCACCACTGGGGCCCGCAGTCTGCGTGCTGGTTTCTGCCTTCCCATGACCTGCATGTCTCCTTTAGGATTTAAAACCATAAGCCAGGAGGACTCAGTCGGCAGGACACAGAAACCTCATGGGATGGGTGAGCACCTGACCCAGAGGCTCTGGGGTAAACCCCCAAGAGGGGTTGTCCTCTTGCACCACCACGCTGGTGCTCAGGCCATTCCTTCTGCCTGCCGTGCCTGGTCCCATTCTCCACTGGCCTGCATCAATAGGGTCCTGGGGGCTCTGCCTCTGAGAAGGGACCCACCATCTCCCAGGAGCAGGGACCCATCTTGCCTTGCACTGAGCATGTGGGCTGTGCTGTAACTACTGGTCCAATTATGCCACCCCGTACTATGCTGCCAGGTTTATCTGACCCTACAGACATCATGCTTGTACTTTTGGACACAATGCAGACATATTTATCCGCTCTATGTGCCAAGCACTGTGATGGACGCTAGTGATACAGACATGAAAAGGCTGCAGTCCAAGGGCAGCAGGGAGAGGACTCTACCTGTACTTCTGGCCCACTTCCTATCCACCCATCCACCGTACTATGCTGCCAGGTTTATCTGACCCTACAGACATCATGCTTGTACTTTTGGACACAATGCAGACATATTTATCCGCTCTATGTGCCAAGCACTGTGATGGACGCTAGTGATACAGACATGAAAAGGCTGCAGTCCAAGGGCAGCAGGGAGAGGACTCTACCTGTACTTCTGGCCCACTTCCTATCCACCCATCCACAC